CAGGCATGATGGGGGGTAGGTGTGACCTGGGGGGCAGGCATGAGCCACAAGGGGAAGGGGGAGCAAGCATGACCCATGGGTGGGGGGGCAGGCATGACCAATGAGGGTAAGGGAGGGAAAGCACAACCCATGGGTGGGGTCGGCAGCCAAGTGCAACCCATGGGTGGGGTGGAGTTGGGTCCCTGCCAACAAACCTACACCCCCATCCCTTCTGCCCCTCCCCCAACCAAGACTTACTTACTTGGCTCCAGCAGTGGCAAATGCTGATAGAAGTGGCTGCACCCAGAGCAGTTTGTGGGATGGGGGCTGAGAGTGCTACTTGGGTGGGGAGCAAGGAACCAGAGGGGCAAAAAGATAGAGCAGTGTAGGGAAGGGGGGAGTGAAAAGAGCAGCCCTGGGGCTGGGGCCAGTGGCTGGGTTTTCCCAACCCCAGGGCTACACAGGGGAAGTGGACAGAAGTTCCATGAACCAGTTTGATCTAAATTGAAAGTGTCTGATACTTCATAGACCCAGGTTGATCTTGAACTGGGTTCTGCAATTTTTAGATCAGTTTGTGTACATGGAACTTCTTTTCAGTTACAGTTTTAAACTGATTGCTGGACACAGGTCTGTAAACGTAAAGTCAGCACTGGGATGAATTGGTCTGCCATGAAGTTTAAATTGGTCTGCCATTCTGAACCCAATTTAACCTCCCAAATGTCTGTAGTTAGCATTAATACTTGGAACCTGCATCATCTTAGTCAAGCTTAATACTATTATATATTTCTCTACCCAAGATGAATTACAGATATTTTGAAACCTAGACTGGTTTACATTTAAATGAAGTTTTGAATTGAGAATGAGTAAAGTACTGTGCTAAGGTACATCAAAATCAATTAAGTACCATAAAGAATTGTGATTATTCTGGTCTAAATTTCTGTTTGTTTTTTATACTATTGGTATGTTATACTATTGATTATTCACACTTATTTACACCCAAGAACTCTCTCAGACAGCTGCCATCCTCAGACAGGACTGTGGCTCTCTGTCTGAACCATGCTACAAAAAGATATTCTAACCAATGATAGAAACAAGGTCTTCAAAATATTGTTGCTTCCTTCTCATAAGAGTGGTCATTGTGAGCAGAATATCAGAAAATAACTCCCTCCCCCACCTTTCAACTGGCTGGAGTTATGCTGTGTGTGAGATGCCTCTGCAACATGGTCTTTATACCTTGGCAGCAGGTTAAGGGGGATTTAAAGTGTAAAAAGGATTTAAATCTACTTCTTGTGTCCTCTTCACTGCCAGAGCTTTCTTAGAGAACTAGTCCTCCATTTCTAAATATGAACTTCAAGTTCACCTCTTTTTATTCCTGCTAAAATTAAGTTATTAACCATAAACTGACATTGATATTAATCTTAGTAATAGTCACATGAATTTGAAATACTGTTCTGGGAGGGTGGGACAGAAAGAATTGATAATGACTCTGCTGCCATAAAATTATATTTCAGTTAGCCTGCAGGAACAATGATAATAGTTATCAGTGCTGAAACAGATACATTATAATTACTAAAACCACTCTTAGAGATGCACATACTTGTTGAGGAGAATTAAGATTAGATAATTAAATCTGGATTTCATGTGCTTGAATTAGAGCCTACCAACTCCTTACTAAAGCAGCAGATTTGGGAAATTTGAAAGCTATGGAAAAACTTGCTGCTGCATTGCTGTTTGGTTATCATATTCCTCAAAATATAACTGCAGCTGTGGCTTTATATGAAACTTTGGCTGAAAAAGGATCTCATAAAGGCCAAACTGTAAGTGCTATTTTTAGTTTTGTTTTTTAAATATATAACATTTTATATAGTCACTGTTTCACTGATAAGCTTATCGCTTTGAAATATACTAAAATACATATATGTTGATATAATTTGCAATCACACAGCAGTTAAATTATTAGAATATGTTATTTAGTAAAAACAGCATCTGACTAAAAATCTTTTAAAATAATAAGATTTCCTAAGCAGTTACATTGGTACCACTATATTTTAATAATCAACTTTACTGTTTACTCCTAAAGACGATTATTTATTTTTAGAGCTTCATTCATATTGCACAAATTGAGATAGACTAATCAGTGTCATTTGCTGCTATGTTTGTAGACAGTTTCACTTTCTCAAGTAGTAGGATTAAGATGTGATTTTTGGGTTCCAAACACACTGGGGAATATTGAACTAGAATCAAAATACTGTTTTCCATTAAAATTTTTAAACCTAAATTTTGAGTCAATCCCATCTGACAGCACCGCTTCTGATTATTTTAACTTTAGATTTTTACACTCAAATGCTAAAAACTATATTTAATTGTTGCTGTTATAGATTTGCCTATTGACATTAGTTATTGATTTACATCTCTTCCTGCAGGATAACATTGGGTTTAATTAAAAATACAAAATATTTTAACATGAAATGATGAGATTTCTGACTTGCTTGATCCTTTTTCCTTTAAAACTAAAGGAACTTGCTTAGTTGCTGAGGTTCTGTACAACAGCATGTCAAATAAACTCTTTTATGAAACTTGCTCTACTACCCCTACATCACACCAATCAACATTCACTGTGATGGTGAATAATCAAGACCACTGATTATTTGACTTAGTAAAGTTCTGAGATGTCCCTGTGGACAGGATCCTAACGTTGCTTGTGTGTCATCACATTGCTGGGGAACTGTTTTAGCTGTCTGTTCTGTTGCAATAGGTATTCAATCCATCAGAAGCAAAAAAGGGTATAATCATTAGGAGTGTGCAAAATGGGTCCTATTAGATTTGGATTCAACCCAAATCAGGGACAGTGATTCAATTTGTTGATTTGGATCACTGTCCCCGATTAGATTCGGCCAAATCCTAATCTGAAGATTCAATGCCGATTCAGAGGATCATCAATTCGGCCATAGACACAGCTTTAAATGTTTTTTCTACATACCTTGAGGTACCAGGCCTGGCTCGTGAATGCCGCAATGCTGGGGTGGATGGAGCATCCCACAAGAGCATGGGGGGGGGGGGGGGAAACAGGTCGCCTTCCCCAGCGCCATCTTTTGCCTGTTATCCATGACCTATGAGGGGTGCTCTTGAAGTCCCCTTAATGTTTCTCGTGTCCCGCTTTCTACTCATCTGCCACGTCTTGATGGAAATATTATACAGATGTTCTTGTAAGCAGGAGACTGCCTATTGTATTTTGTACGTTGGAGTTCACAGCCAGCACGGACCTTGACCCCTGTCTTTCTCTAGCTAGGCCTCCCCATCTAAACCCACCAGATAGTGTTTGACTCTGAGGCTCTAGCGCCTTGATCTTAGGGCTCGTGGCCCTCCTTTTTGCCCCCACTCCAGAGCCCAGCCTTTCTGGCCCAGAGGCCCGTCCACCGGCCCTACAGCCAGGGGGCTGCAGGGTCAAAGCTGGGCAGCAGCCTCAAACCTCCACTGTCCCAGCTCAAAAAACACACAGCTGCATCCCAGGTGCACCAGGCCACTTTGGCCTTTTATGACTGCACCTTCTGGTGCCGGGGCCTGTGCACCCCGAATACTGTGCCCTCTCTGGCGCCAGGGTCACCACACTGTAGTGGACCCCCCAATGAGGCCTCCTCCTTCCCCAGTAGCCTCACCCAAACTACCGGTGTTGATCAATTATAAACAGTATGTCCATGGGCTATAACCGCCACCAAAAATATAATTAAAAAAAGGCAGCATACCATCTTACGTTTTCAGAGGGGCTTGTGCTTCTGTTCCCCACCATCTGCTACAGTCCTTCTTCTGGGGCTGCCACTGCTTCTCCGATAGTCCTCAGTAGTTCCCCTCCTAAAGCAGCTGGACAGCTCACCAAGCCTCTCCGTGGAGCTCTTATACACACTCCTTCCCCTTTGGCTGCTGGCCTTTACTGCCACCTAGCCCAGGGTTTTTATAGTTCTGGCCTACCCCCTTCCAGTCACCTGACTAGCTGGCCAAGCTCAGCTTTTAACACCCACCTTACCAGCAAGCTGTGCCCAGAAAGTTCTGGTCTTAAAGGGGACAACCTGCCTTCTGGTTACAGAGCTAGGTTCCCTGGTACAGGGGGCCTCCTCCATGCTCAGTGGCAAACCTGGAAGTCTACCAGAAGTACTTCCGGCCCACTTCCAGGTCTGCCAGGGAGTGTGCGGGGGCCCCCACTCCCTGCACCCTGCCAGCTCAGCAATCGGCTGGGGGGGGGGACCCCAGGTGCCCCCCCAGAGCCAGGAGGCATCAGTCACCAATCTGGGGCAGGGCACAATGGGGCACACTCCCCAGCAAACTCAGAAGTGGACTAGAAGTCCGCTTCTTGTCCACTTCCAGGGCTGCTGCCAAGCACTCTGGGGACCTCCCCCACACTCCTGTGAGATGCTCCATATGCCCCAGCATCGCAACATTCATGAGCCACCTGGTACCTTGAGGTATGTAGAAAAAACATTTAAAGTTATGTCTATGTCTGAATCACTGAATCTTTCCAAGTTGATTTGGAGGGGTCCAATTTGATTCGGAGAGATTAAAGGGCCTCCTGATTCGATTCAGATTTGGAGATTTGGCCACCGAATCATGCCAAGTTGAATCGGGGACTGAAGCTTCGCACAGCCCTAATAATCATACTTTGCACCTGATTTCAGGTGTAAGAAGTATCCAGAGTTCATAAATGTATCCCCTGGAATGTGTCCATCAAGTACAAGACCCTAGAATTATTTTGTAAAAAACAATTCTAAGAATTGCCCACCTGGTTGCTTTACATTAATTTGACATATTTTTGTTGTGCTTAGGTATTGCTCAAGATTTCTACATCTTGGCCACGTGAATATCCTTGCCAAAAGATACCTCTTGTGTTTTCTTGAGACCTAATAGCTACCATGGCAACAGTGGGACTAATAGAGTTGGTTTCTGATTCAAACTAAGCACTGGACACTCATCTCACAGTTGTTATAGATCCAAAAAGCATATTGTCACGGGGTGACGCCTGCGAGCGGCCGTGATCCCGCTAGGCCCCCCCGCCGTACCAATTAGGAGATCCAGCACCCTCTTAATTCTCTCCCGCCACATCTTTGATCTTATAGTCTTATATGGGAGGCTGCCTTTGGTCTCCTAATTTCTATGGGTGACCTGGTGCACCCCAGCCTTATGGGCTACACGTGCCTCCTACCTCCCCTTTAGCACTCCCCAAGCCCTGCAGCTATTCCGGACGTTCTTGTGCCTCCAACCTTGTACTAGACCCTCCCGGGCTTTAGTCTTGCAGGCTGGCCCCCCTTGGGCCTATGCCACGTGCTTCCCGCGTTCTTCCCCTCGCCGGGGCCTGTTTCTGCGTTTCTTGCGCTCTTGCCCCTCATGGGGCCTGTCTCGTGACAAACCCCCGCCAGGGCTCAGGTGGCACGCAGCCATGCCTGGCCCCCTGACCCTTCTCAGGGTCTTACACCCTCACAGGGCTGAGTACTGCCCTCTTGGGCTGGGGTCTCAACCCCACACACCGCACCACCCTGGTGCCAAGCTGTCG